AAGCAGGGGGAGTGGGAGAGGGAGAAGCAGGCTTCCCGCGGAGCAGGTAGCCTGTTGTGGGGCTCGATTCCAGGACCCTGGGACCATGACCCAAGCCAAGGGCAGATGCTTAATGACTGAGCCACCCAGGTGCCCCGCTATTTCATTTTTTAAAAAAATTTCATTTCTGTCTCTATTCCTTCCAAACACCGCTACTCTTAACATATGAAGTTACAAAAACGGCTTTAATGACTTTCCGTGCTCTTCTATCTGTGTCAGTTCTGGTCTGCTGCAATGGATTGATTTTTCTCATCATGGGTTGTACTTTCCTGCTCTTCTGCCTGCCTGATAAACCCTGACTGGATATTTAAGTGCTTGTTGGCTGCTGGATATTTCTGTATTCCTATAAATATTCTTGAGCTTTGTTCTACAACACAAGTTACTTGGGGATCTCTTTGGGTCTTGTTTTTTGGACTGGTTAGGTGGGACTATAGCAGCATGTAGTCTAGGGGTAATTCTTTCCCATCAGCGAAGCAAGACTCTTTTGAGTCTTCTTTTCAATATCCTGTGCATTACAAGGTCTTCCACTGTGGCTGACGGAAGCAGGCACTATTCCCAGCCTCTGTGTGAGCACCAAGCACTGTTTTCTTCAATCTAATATGGGTATACCCCTGACCTTGGGTAGATTCTTCACACAGATGCACCAGTCTCTCTTGAATCCTCAAGGGGAGCATTCTGGAATCCAGAGATTCCAGAATTTTCTATGAAGCTTTCTCCTCTCCTGTTCTCTGTCTTGTAAACTCTAGCCAACTTGGTCTCCTCAGACTCTCAACTCCTTCTCCTTAATTCAAGGAGGCCACTGTGTCCCACCTGGGTTCTTCCTCCCTGTACATGGCCTAAAACTCTCTCAAGACATAAAGCTGGGGCAATCACAGTGCTCACCTCAAGCCTTTCCCACCTTTGGAGATCACTGTTCTTCACTGTTTGATGTCCAGTGTCTTGCAAACCATTGTTTCACATATGCTAATTTTTGTTGTTGTTACTTTAGGCAAGGGCGGTGAATCTGCTACCTGTTAATTCTATCTTGACAGGAAGCAGAGTTTCCTGCTTGCCAAGTTTCCATCAATTACATTCACACTGCTAGTCCTCAGTGTGGTTTCTGATAAGCTGATGTCTCCCTCACTTTTTGCATGAAGATTCAAGGGCATATGTTATTTGGTTTTGTGTACCTCTCCACCCATTCCTCCTCAGTCTCCTTTGCTGGTCCGCTACATCAACTGTTAACTATGGAACGAATGCCACAGGATGCAAGCTGAAGCTTTTCTATTGTCTGTCTATGCCTACTTGGCCTGGTGATCTTATCTAGATGCATAACTTTAATTTCTATTTTAATCTCAATTTTACATCTTTGGCCTGATCCTAGATGGCCATACCCAACAGCCTATTCAACATACTCACTTGGATGTCTTTCCCCCCACCCCATATTTATTTATTTATTTGAGAGACAGCGCATGAGCATGTGTGCAAAAGGGGAGAGGGGGAGGGAAAGGGAGACAGAATCTGAAGCAGAGGCCTGATGCGGGGCTAGATCTCAGGACCCTGAGGATCGTGACCTGAGCCAAAACCAAGAGACTTAACTGACTGAATCACCCAGGCACCCTTCACTTGGATGTCTTAGTAGGCACTGCAAACTTAACATGTCTAAAACATGCTAAAATGTTACCTCCTGATCTCCCACCTGCCACACCCACACACCACTCGACTTGCAGTCTTCCCCATTTCAGGTAAAGTGAACTTGAATTTCATCATTCTAGTTGCTTACACCAAACTTAGAGTCATCTCTCTCTCTCCCTCTCCCAGACAGGCACTCCTTTTAAAATATATCCAGAATCCAACTACTTTTTCCCACTTCTACTGATACGATTCTGGTCTAAGCTACCATTACAACTTGCTTGGATTATTTCAACAGCCTTCTAACTGGTTTTCCTGTGTCTGTCTTTGCCTCACTTGAAAATCTTTTCTCAACAAAGCAGCCAGAGTGATCCTATTAAAATACAAGTAAGACTATTTCACTTCTCTGCTCAAAACTCTCCAGGGTTTGCCTGTCAGATTCTATGTAAGAAAGCCAGAATTCTTATAAAGGCCTAATAAGGCACTATATAGTCTAGTCCCATTTCTTCATTGATCTACCTTTTTTTCTCCTGCTGTGTGCTCTCTGCACGCTAGCTATGGGGGAATCCTCAGTGCTCTTTGAATATACCAAAAATGCCTCCTCAGGGCCTTTCATGTGCTATTCTTTCTGACTGGAATGCTCTTCCCTTGGTAACTCAGTATCACTCTCTTATCTTCCATGTTCAAACGTCACCTCAGTGGAGCCCTCTACAAGCACTGTTGTGAAATCACTCTCTTGACTCCCTCCCTACCAGTCCCAGCACTTAGACTCTACCATTTATTACATATTATTATTTTATTTTTTCTCTATACCTTCTATGAGGGCAGGATTTTTTTTTTTAAAGATTTTATTTATTTGAGAGACACAGAAAGCACAAGCAGGGGGAGGGGCAGAGGGACAAGCAGACTCCCCACTGAGTGTGGAGTCACACATGGGACTCAATCCCAGGACCCTGAGATCATGACCTGAGCCGAAGACAATTAACCCACTGAGCCACCCAGGCGCTCCAGGGCAGGAATTTTTGTCGGTAGATAGCACCTTGTATGGTGCCTACCACGGGGCAGGTATTTGAATCAACATTTGTTAAACAAATGGATGAAATTAGAGGGTTTTAAAAATTGTTCCAGAAGTGTTCTAAAATTAATCACCTCTATAAAAGTACTTAAATGCTCACCTGAACTGGAATCTTTGCAAGGAGATGAGAAACATTCAGGAAAAGGAGCATCAAAATCCAATGCCACCCAGAAAGGGCCCCTACCTATGCATACCCATTATCTTGGCCTCTGGAGCCCATTTTATAGCAAATCCAACTTATTTGGAAAAAAGTTAGGAAAAAAAAAGTCTGGCAATAAGCCTGTAGTCATATATGGTAATTTAAAAACTTAAATTGCTTCATGTACTATAAAAATCACCCTTTTGAAGTGTACAATTCAGTGTTCTTAGTGTATTCATAAAGCTGTACAACCATAACTGTCTAATTCCAGAACATTGTTATCACTCCAAAAAGAATACCCACGTGTATTTTAGTTACTCCCTATTCCCTCTTCTCCTCAGTTCCTAAAAACCACTAATCTCCTATCTTTATGGATCTGCCTGTTCTAGAGATTTCATATGCTGTTGATCCTCATTACTTGGATTCCTTATGTGTAAACTCACCTACTCATGATAAAATTTGTAACCCCCAAATCAATAATCTTGGTGTTTCTGTGGTCATTCATGGATATGTGCAGAGAGGCAAAAAGCACAGGCTGATGTGCCCTCTAGTGTCCTAAGTGCAAGAAGGCTGTGACGTGCCTTGTGGTGAGAACACGTTTGGTAAGCTTCGCTGAGGCATGAGTATACTGCCAGGGGTGTCCTGGCTGTGACTTCAACATTACTCAATCAACAATACACATGAAAATGGCTCTGAACAGAAACACACATCAAATAAGGTTAGGGATTGATCAGCTGACAAAAATGTGACCACAGGCTGGGGCGCCTGGGTGGCTCAGTCGGTTGAGAGCCGACTCTTGATTTTGGTTCAGGCTGTGATCTCAGGGTCATGGGACTGCACCCCAGGTTAGCTCCGCACTCAGCGCGGGGTCTGCTTGAGCTTCTCTCCCTCTGCTCCTCTCCCCAACTCACATACTCTCTCTCAAATAAAATAAATGAAATCTTAAAAAAACAATGTGACCACAGGCTTGCAGGAACCCAACCCTATGGCTTCCCCAAGAAGCAACAGTTCAGCATTTGTTAATTCAGTATTTGTTGCTGTGCAAAACCTAATTACCATGAATGACAAAAACTGACCGCAAAGGGAGTCGTACAATGTGTGATCTTCCGTGTAGGCCTTCTTTGGCACAGTGCTTTCAGGTTTAATGTTGTATCTGTACCTCATTACTTCTATTATGACTAAATAATATTCCGCTGCATTGATATACCACTTTGTTCACTCATTCCTCAGATGATGGACATCTGGATTATTTCTACCTTTTGACTATTATGAATAATGCTGTTTTGAACATCTGTGTACAAGTTTCTGTGTGGATGTATGCTTTTAATTCTCTTGGGTATATATCTAGCAGTGAAATTACTAGGTTACATGGTAACTCAATGTTAACTTTTAGAGGAATTGTCCAACTGTTTTCCCTGTGCTGCATGCACCATTTTACATTTCCACTAGCAATGTGTGAGGGTTCCAATTTCTTCACATTTTCACAAACACTTATTATTGTCCATCTTTTTGATTATAGTCATTTTTGAAGGTGTGAAGTAGTATCTTTTTGGGGCTTTGATTTGCATTTCTTTAATAACGAATGATATTGAGCCATATATGGTAATTTAAAAGAAGTAGAAGGAAAAAGAAAGAAAAAGACAGAAAGAAAAAGAACAAAGGAACTCCTAAACTCTCCACCTCCGCTGCTGAAACCTAATTGTTTAAAGTCTACTAACCCCACCTGTTAACTCAGGACCCCCACTCTTCTGTTTGAACGTGAGCTTTACCATTACCGTCTACACAGCTTTCTCAGATACATGATCTGGTTTTCCTCTCCTGTGTACCCAAGCAGTACAGAGGCCAAGGTTCAGAGCTGACAATCTGAAGAGTACATCTAGATATCCTTTGCAGAAAAGTGAGCAAAGTCTTACTTATGTGCAAAATTTAAAACCATATAGCTTACTAAAATCTACAAACTCTTTACCTAACACATTCAACTCAGTACCCCAGGAGCAAATAATTTTTGCAGAGACTAGGTTATATCAACTTTGTATCCTAAATTTTTGCCTAGTGGCTGGCGCAAGCAGATTCTAAATAAATGTTCTGAAGAAATGTATTTTTCGAAAAATAAGGCTGGTGTTTAATTGGTCTTACCCTCAAGGGATTTTCATTGAGGTATGGAGGCTCTCCTTCTACCATCTCAATAGCCATGATACCCAGAGACCATATGTCCACTTTAGGGCCGTAAGCTTTCCGTGTAACCACCTCTGGTGCCATCCAGTATGGTGTTCCAACCATGGTACTTCGCTTGCTCTGCTCAGGGGTGATCTGGGCGCAGAACCCAAAGTCGGCTATAAAACAAAGCAAAACATATCTACAGTTAATGGTGTCCATCTTAGAGTTTCATCTTAGAGTTCATGATAGAGGACTTAATTACATTTGACTATTCAGCCTCTTCTTTTTTAAGATTGAATTTAAAAAGTAATCCAGGGGCACCTGGCTATTGAAGAGTCCATACAGCATGTGACTCTTGATCTCAGGATCATGTTCTCCCACGTTAGGCATAGAGCTTACATTAAAAAAAAAAAAAAAGTAAACCAGAATGGGTTTGTAGAATGGGTTTACAACATACAATGTAGAATGTAGAATGGGTTTACAAATATTTTGATGATGTTATATACTCTCACTTTGTTTACTTTTACTTCCCACAAGCAAAGGGCAAATTATCAGATCCTTTATTCTAAATAATTATCCTAAAATTTTTAATAAAGTTGAAAAAGGTCTAAAAGAAAAAGTTACCAAAGGTGAGCACCAAAACTAAATTCTATAAATCACGTAAAAACGCCAGGAAGTGGGAACTATTTTTGAAGAAAATAAACAGAAGCTAGAATTACTAAGTATCTGACTCAGCAGACAGCCTAGAAAAAGAACAGCTTTAACTGCAACTGTACCTAACAAGGTCCTCGTCGGCATTACTCTACTCCAATCACCTCATTTTGTATCAGGAGCAGAAAGCCTAGGTTAGCACTCAGTGTTAATTTAGTGGGATCTTTGGGATGAGAATCTAGAATTTTTTCCTCCCTTCTACAGACCGACCCATTCTACTTCAAACATAACTACTGTTAACATTTAGGTTTGTAAGCTTTGGACTTTTTGTTATGAATTTATACAGGTACAAATATTACCTGTGAACTGCATGGTTTATTTAACCTAGTTAGGATACGCTGTAAACTGTTTTTTTTTTTTTTTTAAAAAGTAAACTCTACCCCCAACATGGAGCTTGAACTCACCACTCTGAGATCAAGAGTCACATGCTCTACCAACTGAGCCAGCCAAGTGCTCCAGTAAACTGCTTCTTAAAATTTATTTTCAGAGATTTTTTCCAGTTGTAGATTGATCTACCTCATTATTATAACCACACAATATTATAAAATAACAAAATTATAATTTATTTTACCATTCCCATAGTTAGATATTTAAGGTACTTTTTGTTGTTCACAATGTTGCAGAGAACAACTCTGTATTTACTGTTGTGCATATGTTCAGTAATTTTATCCAAGAGAATACTAAAAGAGCAATTGTTCAGTCAAATTATAATATTTATAGCTAAAATGGGTACTTGTAACAAACCAGGTTACTATTCCAAGTATCTTGTAGGAATTAACATACCTAAGCCTCATGATAACTTTGAGATAGGTACATTTATTAATATTACTCTCATTTTACAAATTGGGAAACTAAGGCATACATATTTTTAGATAACTTATCCAAGACCATTCATCTAGTATGTGGAAGAGCCAGCATAAAATATTATCCAAAAAAGTCTAATCAGCTTACATATGTATCCACCAAAAAAGTATGAGAATGTCCATTTCTATTTTGCCTGCTGATTAAGATTAGTAATCATATTTTTGACCATCTGGTAGAACCCCTTTCTTGTGGGTGAATAATCCCTGGAAGAAATGTCTTAAAAAAGAGATACTGAAAAAGGAGTCAAACACTCCAGCAGAACAGAAGGAAAAAATTTTGATCTCCTGATCCAAGAAATGCCTTGAATTTTGCCTAGCTGGAGGAACCTCAACAGAAGTTCTTCTTGATTCCTCCGGAAGGCATGGTTGAAACTGACAGATTACAGCCGGCAGAGAGAAAGGAAGTCTATGACAACCCCCCATGACCCCATCATGTCTGATAGAGAAGATAATCGGGAAAAGAGGTTTTGTTCCTTGTCATCTCTCAGGTCAGGGTCATAGAGCCCTCCCCCAATTAGGCCATGCTCTACCAAATCCTAAGAAAGCTGAACAGCATAATGAGCTACCCTAACAGACAACAGAGACAAATTCAAGTTTATCTTTGGAAGACAGCACCAAGATGACGACAGTCCCAGGCACTGTTCCTCAGTGCTTTACATTTGTAATCCTCAGAAGAATGCTCTGAGACAGTTACTATTATTTTCCTTACCATCGAATTGAGAAAATAAATACAGAGATTAAATAACTCATCCCAAATTATTCAGCAAGTAGTAGCTGATCTGCCATTTAAACCCAAGCTGTCCAGTTGAGAGTCCATATTCTTTACCATTTTTTCTCCCTCCCCCTCCATATATTAAGTCATAAAAATATTAATAGGTTTCTTTTTACTTAAACAAAAGGCAGAATTATAATAATAAATAAATGTTATTTCCTCATTTGTTACTTACTAAGTTTAACCGATCCTTCCATCCCCAAAAGCACGTTGTCACTTTTGATATCTCTGTGGATCACCTGATTGGCATGTAAAAACTCCAATGCCTGTAAACACTAAACAAGAAAAACACCTATTAATAAAACAGTCCCTGAAAAGTCTAAGGGAAGTTACAATCAGTACTTATGGCCTGAGCACTGCTTCAGAATTCTAATCTAGCCCCTGAAAAGCAGGTAAGAACCTGGGAGGTCCAGTCCCATCCAGCTGTTTACTGATGTGATGTTAAGATGTTTTCTTCATTTCTTTTAGAGTGGATTTTACATAAAGCTATATCCACAACCTAGACACCACTGATGAAAGAGTAACTTTCCTCTTATGCCATGTTTCAGAAAGCAAGGAGTCAGAAGTGAGGAAAAACTCTGCCCCCTTCCTTAAATACAAGAAAAAGATTAGAGTTTTAAGATCTGCTTGTCCCTATGTTTTTGAATATAAAATGTAAACTTGGAAAAAGTTGTGTTTTATTTCTTACCCCCACTAAAGGAGAACAACAAAATAAAGACCATACATTATGAATAACAACTAAAAATCTCATTTAAAATATTCTATTATTCAGGGGCACCTGGGTGGCTCAGTTGATTAAGCAACTGCCTTCGGCTCAGGTCATGATCCTGGAGTCCCGGGATCGAGTCCTGCATTGGGCTCCCTGCTCAGCAGTGGGTCAGCTTCTCCCTCTGACCCTCCTCCCTCTCATGCTCTCTCTCTCAATACATAAATAAAAATCTTAAAAAAAAATTCTACTATTCATTCAAGGAAAAACAGATAAACTGTGCATCACTGTACTATGTTTACCAAGCATTTTTTTTTTTAAAAGATTTTATTTATTTGTCAGAGAGAGAGAGAGCCCAAGCAAGGGGAGCGGCAGGCAGAGAGAAGCAGGGACTTCTCGATGTGGGACTCAGTCCCAGGACCCTGAGATCATGACCTGAGCTGAAGGCAGACGCTTAACCAACTGAGCCACCCAGGCATCCTGCATTTACCAAGCATGTAAGCAGATTCTTGAGAAGAACAAATCCTCCCCAAAACACTATTGTACAATAGAAGCAAGTTTGTCATAATTCGAGGAACTCCTAAAATAATTTTTAAAATAATTACAAAAAGAAATTATTAGACAAACAAATTAAGTATGGATACTTTCTTAAGTTTTTGTCAGTTTTTAAGTGATCACTCTATGTTAGAGATATCATATTACTAAAATACCATATTCATAACTATTAAAGAGTTCTTATTTCCTCCCCTCCTGAAGTAACCAAAGGGGCTACCCCTTCAGTGGAGCATAATTAACTCAGAATTAAAATTTTCAGTTTTAGCTTAGACTTAGGCAATTTGGCAGAATTCTACCGGCTTTTAAGCAACAGTACATCTAAAAATTCAACAACCAGCTTTTCACCTTTGAGGAGCTTAATAAAGCCAGAAGCAGACTTCAGGTGAACATGTGCCCTGCTTGGTGTGAGATAGTCCTTGTTTCCACTGCTGAGTGGCACTCCCTTTAACTCTTAAAAGTACCCTGTTGGGATGATAAATTTTAATGATCACCTCACTGAAATTTACCTGTGAGCTGGGCTCTTCAAAAATCCATGCTCCATTCCAGAATTATCTTACACATGAAGGAAAGGGTTTAAACTCTCATGTAGGATAAAATGGTATGGAGACAACTTGCAGAGAATATGTAGAGAAAGTATCTCACATAGTAAAAATCACCTGTACAAAACTACCACCCCCACCCCGCTTTTTAACCTCCTGCTAACTACACATTGCTATAACTTGTTGGAAAGGGAACAAACTCACCTCTCTGCAAACAGCAGCAATCTGTGCTTCATCCATGCAGGTTTCTGTTACAACATCAGTAAGGGATCCCCCAGCAAGGTACTCCATTACCACAAACAGTTCATCTCCCATCAGGTAACTAAAAAACCATGATAAACACACAAAATACACTCACATTTTTACTTTCACACCACTCTGTGCTGAAGAATTCAAATGTCAGACACCCTAATCATGAAACTAGAAAGCTGGAAGCCGTGAGGGCCAGGAAGAAAACTGGCAAGCTGCAATGCAACAGCGCAGAGTAGTAACTGACAGTCATTAGGACTTTCCTGAGTGACTTCAAAGTTGCCCCACAATTGTAACTTGATGGTTTCAATTAAAATAACGCTGTAAGGTAGGAATCATTCATCTTGTTTTACAGATGAAGAGATGGCTAGTAAGTAACAGGACCAGAATTGGAAGCCAAGTGTAACTGATTCCAAAGCCTATCCACCATGCGAAACTGACGTGATATAGTATTTTTAAAAGCAGGGAAACATACCTGGAAAGTTGATTTTTATGAACATGGCCCCCATTACTAAAGCTAAAATCTAAGAATGTGTTATCTTTTTCCTATTCTAAACACATTTAAATGTGGAAATAAGAAAGTCACCTATAATCTTCTATCTCCAATACAATCACTCTTTTAGTTTTCATTTATTTTTCTGTTCTTTCATTCGCACATATGTAATTGCTTAAGAATCCCCATATAATTGTAGAATATACAATTTTCTCTTCTGCTCTTTGTTCTGTTACTTAACATCAATGCCTAAATTAAATGAGGTTTTGACAGACAAATTATTTGCCCATGAACGACAGCATTTGAAATAGAAACTGATCTAAAAGTTTAAAAAACCATGCGGCCAGGCACCGCTGTCAGTCAACACATGAATCACAGTTCATTTCCTTAATGTTTCTGCTTCTGATCATTTATAATTAATATAAGCACCAGCAGCAATGTCCTTCATTTAACTGCTTTCCCTCACTTGCCAGGGGATATATGTGTAGAAAAAGGTCTGCTAAACTGCAGTATGCCTTTTTTTAAAGATTTATTTATTTTTGAGAGAGAGAGAACACGTGGGGGGTGGGGGGGTGGGGGTGGAGCATGGAGGGAGGGGCAGAAGGGGGAGGGAGAGAATCCCAAACAGACTCCCGCACTGAGCATGGAGCCCAAGGCCTGGCTCCACCTGGGCTTGTTCCCATGACCCTGACATCATGACCTGAGCAGAAACCAAGAGTAGGATGCTTAACCGACTGAACCACTCAGGTGCCCCTGCAATGCGCTATTTTTACTTGTACCTCTCTCCTCCTCCTTCAAGCTTACTTTTCAACACTGACATCCTACTCTGGTCTAATTCAAGTGCTTGAGCTAGCCCCCAAAACCACGAGACTTAAAATTTCTACATTTTTTCCGACTGTTTAAGAAATATTCATATTTACCTGTCCAAGAAGTTAACTATGTTGGGATTCTTTAATTCTTTCATCACCAGAATCTCATTAATGATTAATTCCTTCTTTGGCTGTTTCTGTAAATTAATCTGTTTGATAGCAACCTATGATGGAAACAGAAATAAAAAAAATCAGAACAAGTCTCCTAATTCTCTTAGAAAATTACCAACACCAATCAGGTAATAATTTAATTTATTGTATATCTATTGTATTATACAATGAGACTGTAACTTACAGGTAGTACTTTTACTTCCACACTGCCTACGCACAATGCTTTGTAATACACAGAGCCTAATTACTTTTAGATTTCTCCCGAAGCTGATTAACCAACCCAAGGTCATACCAATGCCAGGAATTAATCCTCTTTTCATTCCAAGCTGGGAAAATAATTTTTTAAATATTTGCTTATTTAGGAAACTCAGTGCATAATTCTTTCTTTTTTCCCCTATTAAGAAAAGTGCTATAAAATACAGAGTAATTCTTTTAACATATTCAACTGAAAAAAAGATTCCTCTTGATTATTCACAAGTTTATCTAGTTTCCTCCTATACTAAAAGCTAATGGTAACACCCAGAAGTATGAAAAAGTAGCTACCTCCTGTCCCAATGCCACATCAGTAGCAGTGAAAACTGTACCAGAAGCCCTAGGGGGAAAAAGACACAACCAGATTTAAGGTTTCTAAATCACTATCATTTATATAGCTAAAGACTTTACAATTAGTACAACTGGACAAGGATTAAAGAACATTTAAGACTTAACATTTTTAAACAGGAGTAAAAGCAAACACAAAAGGGGAAAAAATAAGAAAAAGGCAATCCTTGTGGCCAAAACGTATGTTAGAAATTTATCATTAAGTATCTACCTACAAAAATGTAGGAAAAAGAAAAAGGAAAGAAAAAAGTAATATATACTCATGGATCCACTTCCCTGCTTAAGAAACAAAAACCAACAAATAAATTTGAAGTCCTTGCATGAGCTTTCCAGAGGCATCCTTCTGTCCTCCCAAAAGTAATTGGTATTTGGTGTTTATTCTGTAGTTGATGTGCATCCTATCCATACATCTGTCACTTTTTTTTTTTAAAGATTTTATTTATTTATTTGAGAGAGAGAGAATGAAAGAGAGAGCACGAGAGGGAAGAGGGTCAGAGGGAGAAGCAGACTCCCCGCTGAGCAGGGAGCCCGATGTGGGACTCGATCCCGGGACTCCAGGATCATGACCTGAGCTGAAGGCAGTCGCTCAACCAACTGAGCCACCCAGGCACCCCATCTGTCTACACTTTATCAAGGGCAGAGGTGTGTATCACTATAAACTATATTCAACATAAGTTTTAAACTTCTTATAAGTGGTTTTATTTTATGTATTTTTCTGCAATTTGCTTTTTAATTTTTTAAATTTATTTTTTATTTTATGTTTTGAGATTTGCTTTAATTCAACACTGGATTTAGGATAGGTCTTATACTTGTTCACTCATTATTATTATTTACATTATTCGATATAATTTATCCATTACCTTGCTCAAGAATGAAGATGATTTTCAATTTTTGTTATTAAACCAGTTATACAACAAAATTTAGAGAGGTAGAGGTGGGGGGAGAGGGAGAGGGAGAGAGAGAATCTTAAGCAGACTCCACACCCAGTGTGGAGCCCCAATAGGGCTAATCTCACAACCCTGAGATCATGATCTGAGAGGAAATCAAGAGTCGGACGCTTAACTGACTGAGCCACCCAGGAACCCCACTAAATTTAGTTTTTAGAACGAAATTCATAAGGAAGTTTTCAAAAAAGACTCAAGCTCCCTTTCTAAATTCACAGAATACTTTCCAGAGATTAATAACATTAAAAATTCAAGATGTTCATTTGCTCCCAGGCAGAAACAAAGTTAAGTGTAGTTTAAAAATACAAATTACTGGGCAAAATCAGATCAGGAGACTCAAAATACAATACTCAATGATGTGATTAAATACATACTTTTATTGCCCATCATCTTGTAGTAAATGTTCTTATTGTCTTTTAAATATATTTGGTGGTCAATTTTTCCATCTAATCTCTTAACCACCAATGGGAAATAACATTTAAGAAAAAACAATGTACAGTCATTGCTGAACAGTACAGCTTTGTAACAGCATGTAGAAATAAATGCATTACTTATTTACATGAATCCAAGAATACCATGCATAGAATGCTCTAAGTGCTCAATGTCAACAGGCAGAAGAGAGATACCATACTATACACCCAGGAATTATTACATACTGTTTAATAGAGTCACAAATACTTACCCTTGCCCAATTTTTTCATATCTTGTGTATTTTTTCTTAGGGTCACCTATGCTCACAATAGTTCCTATTTTAAACAAAAAACAACAAAAAGTTGGAAGCTCAGTAAAGCATTTTAAAGTTGTAAACTAATCTCATTATTCCTTTTAATAAACTCTACTGATTTTAGAATATTGGTTTTCAAACACAACTTTCAAAAATCATGTATGTTTCAAACACAGAACACTAATGAAACTTAATAGGAAAGTTATCAGAAACAAGAAGACATATTACTTCCATGAGGTTGGACCTCCTAGCTAATGTTTTAATTATCGTCTCACTTTCTCAAAAATAAATACATTTTAAAATGACCAACTGTGTTAGCCTGCCTGAGAATAAAGGGGTTCTCAGGATGTGGGATGTTCAGTCTTAACTGGGAAATTTCTGGAGAAGGATGGGCTGGTCATTCTACTTTTCATACTCCACTGAAATGTATTAAACTAATGGTTAAGTTATGAAACTACTTATTATCAGAAATAAAAATATAAATGATATCCAAATGAATAACCCTAAATGGCTTTTCTGACTCTTCCCATATACCTTCTATCTTCCAATATATTTAGGAAACCACTTATTTCTATAAAGATTACTCTACTTTAGTATGAACTAATCATATATCTGTTTTAGGAAAGTTCACAAAGTCATAACTAAGAAACAGTTTTATAATTAGGATTTGGACATAAAACTATAACAATATATTCTTATTACCACTAAGTCAAAACATGAGAAAAATCACACTAACTTTTCACTTACTCGATATCCACATTAAGGAGACTCACACAAACAATCCAGTTCTATATAAGTACCCAATCTCAGGTCTACAGCCGTTTTGGCTATAGTATCTCTCCTAGATCCCTGATCCCTCTATGTCAGTGTCCTTTATAACTATAGCTGCTGTAGACTTGTAATAGACTTGTAATTGGACATTATTGCTCCCCTCTCCCTGGCACTGTGTACACTACTTCCAATGGCTGATTCAGGCCAATGATGGATGAAAAGGGAGAAGAGAAAAAAAAAATACATTTAATGTTTACACATATAGCTATATAGGAAGGCCATATTGTTTACTTATTTGGGAATATTTTATATTCTCATATTGAGAAACTATAAGTATGTATAAATATATAAAAACTTCCTTTGATAAGGTTTCCAACCATGACCCTTAGATTTGGTCCTTTGGGAAAAAGTATTGCTCCCAAAGGAACTGATCACTGCAGACATTACTCAACAGTCAACACATAATAAACAAGCAAATCAAGAGTATGATTTTGGCTTCAGCAGATTTTAACTGAAGCTATTGTTCCTAGAAGGAAACGATTTATTATTTGTCTTAAGCCAAAACATAAGGTATAAATTAAAATCCATCTGAGCCAAATGTGTCAAGAGCTATTAACAATTTAAGAATAATGTAAAATGTAGGTAACATACTTAATTTCTCCATAATCTCTTCATCTGTCATTTTGGTCTTCTTTTTCTGTTTGTCAGAAGATTTGGCACCGCTATCAACATTAGAATCACCAACTGGTGCAGGAATAGGGTCAATTACAGATCGTGTATAAATCTGCGGAGACAATTAATTACTGAGATCTGAGGAAAAATATTTTTAGGTATTCTTACTGGTACACTATTCAGTTCTTCGATTTTTTTTAAGATTTTTATTTATTTATTTGACAGTGAGAGATACAGTGAGAGAGGGAACACAAGCAGGGGGAGTGGGAGAGGGAGAAGCAGGCTTCCCGCTGAGCAAGGAGCCCGACACGGGGCTGGATCCCAGGACCCCAGGATCAAGACCTGAGCGGAAGGCAGATGCTTAACAACTGAGCCACCCAGGCGCCCCAGTTCTTTGATTTTTAATCAAAACTAGTTTACTCCAGTGTTCTAAAGAATGAGAATAATATTTTCAGACTTGTCTTAATAAAAGACTTGTAACTAAGACAAATAAATGTTAAACACTTTTGACACGTGATGTATAGATTTTAAAAGTCTGTCTAGCAAAATAGCAGATCTGTGAATGAAATTTAAGTTTAACCAGATCTAAAATGATATGCTAGCAATGAAGCAAAAAGGTACACATTTAAAAATCATGTTCTTACTACAAAAGAGAAATAAAGAGAAAAAATTACGGAAACCAAGATGTTGAATTAACTATTAATTCTCATAAAAACTTCTACCCAAAGTTGATTTCTACCATTTCATTTTATTTTTTATTTTTTTTAATTTTTATTTAAATCCAATTAACATATAATGTATTATTGGTTTCAGAGGTAGAGGTTAGTGATTCATCAGTCTTATATAATACCCAATGTTCTACCGTTTCATTTTAAATTGCCAATTCTAGGAAGTAAAGCAAGAAAACAGAGGCCTCTCTCATTAGATCAGGACCCGGCAGCAGTCCTCAGAGCCCTTCCTGCTGATGTACCAGCACTTCACGCACAGCACCCCCCCTTTCCTTGTACTAGTACAGGGAGACGGGACTCCTTCTGTCTCTAAGGTCATTATTTTTTCAATTTTCCCCTATCTGGTTGGGAATTTCACTCAGCAGCCTCCTGAATGACACCAAGGCTTTAAGAGAAATGTAAAATGGGAGATTATATACACAATTTGGGTAAGAAGTAAGATTTAAGTTTTAGATAATAGTAGTTGAGATTGAGATAAACAGAGAAAGCCAGAGAAATAGATGGATTCTCTGGAAGACAAGGTGTAACACAGAAAGGAAAAACAATGAGGTAACTATTTTAACTTTTAAGGAAGTCATTTAATTTTAATTTTCAAAAAAACTAGTTTTTTGATGAATAATTTTTAGGTAGAGTTGTCCTCGTCAAATTTCCTCATACTGAGACTTTTTGAAAATTAATCACTGGCAGTCAAATACAGACTGCTGTTTTTTAAAAACACACATGCCCAGACACCCAGAGTCCAATTACTCAGACACGCACTGATTTTGTATGATCCGGTCGTGGGGCAATAACAGGGGGAGCAGCCTCTTCATCGTCATCATCTTCTTCTGTTACTACTGCTGACGTTTCTGATCCCTTGGTACTCAGCTGCATTACCAAAGCAAGGAAGACAAGTCAGATACAACAATATGTTAAAATAGGACTCTCTTTTCTTGACACACTTGAAAAAATGTATTTCTTTAATACCTTATTTCAAAACAATAAAACCTCAATGGTTCTAATCTAATCACTTAAAAAGTAAAGGCAATTCTATAACTTATACAAAAGTTTATGAAATAAATGTTTACAGTAAGTTTCAAGTTTTCTTAAGAGAAAATCTATACCTTTTATGTGGAGAATTTTATGTCCCTTAAACAAGCCCTAAAAGGAAACAATCACTTGATTTGTTAAAACCAAAAACGAAGATCCTCTAGGATTTGTATAAGTCAGAGTCATTTCCGGTCATTTAAGACAGCCAGATTCACCATCAAAAATGGTGGCTGATAAAATAAAAGAAGACGTTAACCTTTATAAAGAGCTTACTGCATGCCAGGTGTATGCTAGGTAGGTACTTTACATATTACTGCATTTTGTCTTCATATAACTCAAGGCTGTTTCTTCCTAATTGAGGAACTGTTTACTTAATATGGCTTCCTTATTTGCTTAATCAAGTGGCCAACTTAAAATATATTAAGTAGTTATTTATTTTGATGGCTGTAATTTATTTTAGAAAGTTAAATAAAAACTGAGATTTGTTTTGAGTAACTTAAGTTAGAACAAGAGCTACAAGAAGTAATATATTAACTTACTGCTGGTGTTCCAGAAGGGAAGCCATCTTTCTCTGAATACAAAACAGAAAATAATGCTAAGTCAACAACTCAAAAAATAAAACAACTTCTATATAATAAAGGGAAGAAAAAAAAATAAAGGGAAGAAAATACAAAGCAGAGCAAGTAAAATATTCTTAGACTGATTTCATTTTAAGATGAAGTAAACCTTGGGAAAAATGACAATATCAGTATTCAAATACGAATTTATACAAGATTGTGCTAACAAATCTCAAATCTTAATGGAACTCTGTAAATTTACTAAAAATCATTGACTTGTATCTTCAAATGGGTGAATTTTATAGCATGTGAACTATCCTTTAATAAAGCTATTAAAAACAATTGTTAACTATACTTCTCATTGTGTATTTATTAAAACAAAAGTTTATTCATAGTAATACTTTCTCCAGAAAACTGTCTATTGAGAAACTTAAAGCAACTATTCAAACTATAGCAACTGTGCAAAGGAAAATTCTTGACATAAATTTTGATCAATAAGACAGCATATTCCTGAAGGCAAAACATAGTTCATGAAGACTAAATGTCAAAACATTCATTCTGGAGTTTAGAAGAGCAAGTTTTGTTTTGTTTTACTTTTCAAAAGGCCCAGAGACTTATATATTTTTTATACATATATATAATATCTAACAATATATGCTAAATATTATTAATATAATTATGTAATTACAATAT